TGGATGATGGATGATGGATGGATGGATGATGGATGATGGATGATGGATGATGGATGGATGGATGGATGGATGATGGATGGATGGATGGATGGATGGATGGATGGATGATGGATGGATGGATGGATGGATGATGGATGGATGGATGGATGGATGGATGGATGGATGGATGATGGATGGATGGATGATGGATGATGGATGGATGGATGGATGGATGGATGGATGGATGGATGGATGATGGATGGATGGATGCTCTGCTCTCCTGAGACCCCTCTGGAGCTGTGTCCATCCCAGCACAGCCATGGAGCTGGTGGAGCAGGCCCAGAGGAGAGATCAAAGTGGTCTGAGGTGGTCCATGGTCTCTGCTGTGGAGGAAAGCTGCCTCGTGGGACCTGCCAGCCCCTCAGCGCTCTGCTGCAGCCGCTGCTCCCCTTGCTGAGGGCCAGAGCATGGACCCCACGTCCTTGGGCTCCTTCCCTCCTTTACCAGCACTGCCTCAGCCCCACCTTGCTTGGCCCAGGGTGCTGAGCCCCACTGTGACTGATGCCAATTCCTGCTCTTCTCCAGGCCAGACCCCCCATCCCACCATGGACCCTCTTAGCAACAAGGGAATGGAAAATGTTGGTGCTTCCTTGGCTGGGAGCAGCTCTCAGCCAAGGGCTGGGATACAGAAACCTCCCACATCCCACCACTGCAGCTCCACAGAGGATCCCCTGGGTGATTCTCCTCCCCAGAAGAGCCAATAGAGCCTCTGCTTTTGGCCCCAGACTGGCTGATTTCCCCTTTTCCCCTTTTCCCAGGGGATAAACCCCAGCACTGATGCTCCAGTGACAGCCCCAGCTGTGCTCACCCTTCCCTGCAATCCATTCCATGTGATTTTCATCACACCTTTAAAAATAAAATGCCCCAAACCCACTCAAACCCAGCCTTCCCAAGGCAGAGATTGATATTTCCACATGGCAAATGCTTCCATGCAATTCCCCAGTGTCCTATTTTTGGTTTCTCACCAGTCCTGGCACTGGTTGCAGCATCTGTGCTGGAGCTCCAGCCGAGCTCGGAGGAAGGGAGTAAAGGTTTTTTGGGGCAGAAAAGGAAATCTCTCATCTCCTTCCCTGGGCTGTGCCACCCACATCTGACACCTAATGAGACTGCAGGTGGCATCAGTCCTGTTGTTTCCCTTTCCCTTTTCCCTTTTCCCTTTTCCCTTTTCCCTTTCTCTTCCTTACTTATTCATTTGTTCTTTATATAATTCATATTTTCCCTTACGGGAGAGCCCCTGCAGCCCCACCTCATCCCATCTTTTCAAATCCAGAAACCAAGGCACTGCCTCCAGCTCTTCCCCCTCACCTCGTACCTCTTCTCCACTTGTCACATCCATTCCCAGCTCTGTCTCTCCTGGATCCAGGAGCAGTCATTCCAATTGCACCCAGCTCTCTCCCGGATCCAGGGGAGCCAGGAGCAGTCACTCTGATTGCACCCAGCCCTGTCTGTGTGCCTGGGAGCTGCTGGCTGGGGGTGACAGCCCTTCCCCTCTCCTGGCAGCTGTGATGGGGGTTTGGGATGCGGTGTCTGAACTCATCCAGTGGATGCTCCTGATGGAGCAGGTAGTCCTTGGATCCCCTGCTCAGGGCAGGAGGAGCTCAGAGAGGTGAAACCCCCTTGCTGCTCTGCCCCTCACATAAAAGCAGTTGAATTATTGAATTATTGAATTATTATTGAAAATGGGCCACAGGCTGGAGCCTCCAGCCAGCTCCAGCTCTTCCACCTTTTCCTCCTTCCCTGTTCCCCACAGCCAGAGTAGAAAGGCCAGAGCAAGAGCTTGACACATTTCTCAGGTGGGAGAGCTGGGGGTGTTCACTTGGAGAAGGCTCCAGGAGACCTCAGAGCACCTTCCATGGTCTAAAGGGGCTCCAGGAGAGCTGGGGAGGGACTGGGGACAAGGGATGGAGGGACAGGAGCCAGGGGATGGCTGCCAGTGCCAGAGGGCAGGAATGGATGGGAGATTGGGAAGATAGATATTGGCAGGGATATTGGGAAGATAGATATTGGCAGGGATATTGGGGAGAAACCCTTCCCTGTGAGGGTGGTGAGGCTGTGCTGGGCCTCAAGAACACGACATGAGCAGATGGATGTGCATTTGCAGCCTGGTCTTTACTTGCAGAGGAGCCCACCTGTGGCTGTGGATTCTGGGAAGCTCTGTGAGAAGCCTTTACTGACACGTGATGTTATTTCTGGAGTTTCCCTGAAAAACCTCAGGTTGTGCTGTGTTTTGTGAAGATGATGCCCCTCCCACGAGACCCAGCAGGAGCGGTGCTGGGAGGCTGGGGAGCAGCAGCCCCCCTCGGTGGTGCTATCATTGCTGATGCCAGCAGAGCACAGGGACCGAGCAGAACGGGCAGGGAAAGGCTGCTCTGACACCGAGATTGCCCTGGGCAAGGGGACAAGGGGTCCCTGTCCTGGCTGTGTCCAGGAGCACAGGCAGAGCCCCTCGGTGCCGGCTGTTCTTGGACAAACAGCACCATCTGTTTGCAGCAGCAGAGGAGAGGGGACAGGGTGGCCTCGGGGGCTGTGCCCCTCAGCAGGACAGGGGATCCCCCCTGGAGCAGCAGCCTGTGCTGTTCTGGCTCACACCAGGACATTCCTGACCACCAGAGCCTCCTGCAGCCCACAGGTGACACCTGGGGCTCGCTCCAAGGCCAGGCCAGGAGCTGCAGGATGGGGGAGCAGGGAGGGGAGAGGCTCCAGCCTGGGGCTCAGCTCAGCTTTGGGTCTCTCTGTCCCGGGAGTCTCTGCCCTTCCATGCATGGACGTGAGGACACCACCCTGAGGGCCCCACAGGGCTCAGCCATTCCCCACATCTCCCCATCACCCACTCCTGGGACATCAGAGGTCCTGGGAAGGGGTTGGCCCCACAGCACCAAGGAGGAGAAAGCCAGGCAGGCCCCACCTTTGCTCCAGGGGCTGAAGCTGTTCCTAACCCAGCCCAGCCCCACTTCCAAACCCAGCTCAGAACCCCTCAGGATGGACCCCAGCATGTTCTGAGTGACAGAAATTACCCAGGATCACCTTAGCAAGGAACTGAGAGGAATGAAGAAGATCAGATTTATTAAACCTGCTGGGAAAAGGGTACAAAGGGTGGCCTGGGAACCTCAAAGCTCATGTGGAGAAACCACTACTTCTTCTTGCGACGTCTGGTCTTCATTCTGATCAGCTGCAACCCCTGCTTCTTGATGTCCTCCCGGCTGGGGACGTAGTCATGGTCTTCATCGTCAAAGTCCAAGGTGTCTGGAGGGGAGATGGAGAGGAGGGGCTGGAGGCTCTGCTGTGCCCGTGTCCCTGGGACAGCTGGCACATTTTGTTGGGCTCATGGGATCCGGGGGAGTCCTTGTGGGCTTTTCCAGCCCGGTGTCCCAGGGTGACCCCTGGGACCTGCTGATGCCACCACTGTGGCTCATCTGCAGCGCTGCTGGGATTCCTGTGAAGGTCTGGAGTGTGGTGGGCACAGCTCCTGCTTTGCTAAGGAAAGCTGCTGAGCTGCCAAAAGCTCTTTGCCTCTTTGAGGAGCATCCACAGGCAGAACCAAGCACCGATTTTCCTTCACAACCAGGTGATTTTGAAGATGAGGGTGTTCCCTCCTGCCCCACAGCATCTCCCCTTGTTCCTGCAGTGGCTTGGTGCTCATCGTGCCACCGCGTGCCTTCGCTCTCCCACATCCCTGCCTGAAACCACCACCCATCACTGCAGCCTTGGCAACAGCCAAGGCCAGCCTCAGGACCTGGAGGCAATTCATGGTTGGTGTCTGCTGGGCCAGTGGGAGACAGACAAGGACTCCCAAAAATCCCAGGGGACAGGGGCTGGGACATGTCCCCACTGTGCTCTCCTACCATCTTCCATAGCGCCTTCATCCTTGAAGGAAATCTTCAGGTTCTGTGTTTCACCTGCAGTTCTTTTCTCCAGAAGGTTCCTGACCTTGGCAAAAGTCTGAGAGAGCCTGGGTTAAGTGCTGGAGGGCAGGTGGGTGTCACAACCCAAGGGTGCCACACGAGGTACCCCATGGGTGCCCAGTGCCACCCTGGGCTGAGCCCTTCCCTGTGGCCTTGCTGAGGAGGATGGCTCGGGTGGGCACCTGTGAGGGCCCTGTGTGTGTCCCCTGTACCTCACTGCGCTCGTCAGTGCTGTCCTCGGGCCGGGCTGCCAACTTCTCCTTCAGGAACTGCATCTTCTTCTCACAGTGCTGCAGCTTCTCCTCCAGCCCCACCACGGGAGCAGAGTCCTCCTGGGGGAGACAGAAGCACCTTGGCAGGCACAGCCAGGCCCTGGGGGCTGTACAGGTGTCCCTGTGCTGCCCTGCCCGCATGGCCCTGCTCCCCGGTGCTACCTGGCCGGGGATGACGATGCCCTGCAGGCGGAGGAACAGGTTGTCAATGATGTTCTCAAACTCGATCAGGCGCTGCTGGTTCTTCAACATCTGGGCTTGCATCTGCTCCAGCCGGGCCTCTTCCTGCTTCAGGTTCTCCCTCAGCTCCTCCTCTCGCAGCCTGGAGCCACACTCACATCACCCAGGGGTGCAGGGACACCCCAGAGCTGCTCCAAAAGCTGTTTGGGTTCCCCCACCCCACCTGCAGCCCACTCCATGCTGCTGGCAGCACTTCCCATGGCAGGCAAGGAGAAGGGAGCTGGGGGACCCCGGTGGGAGCTGGGGGGACCCGGTGGGAGCTGTGGGACCCCGGTGGGAGCTGTGGGACCCCGGTGGGAGCTGGGGGTGCTCTGCCAGCA